ACAGTGAACACTTTGTCATGTCTATAACCATGCCCAAGTGCTCCAGTCTTTGAGAAGGCTGGAGGGAGCATTTGTTCAAGTTTATTAGGAACCCGTGATGCTGAAGGTAGTGTATCGTAGTTAGAGTGTCCTGATGAGATTTCTCTCATGAGCAGGACCAGATCAGAAGGTCATCCACGTACAGGTGAACATGTATGCCCTGCTCCCTGAGGCAAACAATCGGATTGACCAAGAGCTTGGTAAATACCCGCAGTGCTGTAGCAAGTCTGAAGGGCATGGCTCAGAACTGAAGCTGAAGTTTGCCCACACAGAATCTCAGAAACTGGCGATGTAAGGTAGGATAGAAACATGGAGGTACGCCTCTGTGAGGTCTATTGATGTCATGAATTCGTTTGGTTGGATGGCCTCTGAGACCAATCGTAATGTTTCCATCTGGAAGTGACGGAGTTTGATGAACTTGTTCAGGAACTTGAGGTCTAGAATGGCTCTCCAGTCCCCGTTCTTTTTGGGAACCATGAAGAAGATGGAGTAGCCCGCCATCCATGCTGGTGTGATGGAACAAGTTCCACTGCTCTGATGTCCAGGAGGTGCTGGATCGCCTTTTGTGTTATCATCCTTCTTTGGGGGTTCTTGCACATAGGGGAAATGATGAAGCGCTCCGGTGGATGCCTCTTGAATTCTATGGCACAACCTTGAGAGACAACCTCTAAGGTCCAGGCATCTGCTTGAGCATTGAGCCATGTTTGTTGAAAATCCCGGCCTTTCGACGCAGGATGAGGGATATCTATTGTTCCTAGAGTTGAAGGTCCCTTTCTTAAAATTCTGGCATGAGTAACCCCAGGATGATCTCTTGGAGTTCTGTCTAGGTCTGGGCAGCGTATGCTGCGTTCGAAAAGGGCTGATTGCCAACATACCCCCTGCCTGTCAGAACATTGAAGGGTCTTAGGCATTGCCTTCTTCTTGTCTCTGGTTTCAATCAAAATCTTTTCCAGGGCATCTCCAAATAGCTTTTCTCCTTGGAAGGGATAGGACAGAACAATGTTTTTGGAATGTAAGTCTGCTGGCCAGGCTCTGAGCCAGAGAAGACGTCTAGCTACTGCTGCTGAGGCCATTGCTCTGGATGCAAATGTAAGGACGTCTAAGGAGGCGTCTGCAGTAAAGGTACTGGCTTTCAGAAGCCTGCTGGCACCTTCCAGGAGGGGTTTGTTGTTCTCTGGAAGTAGTTGAATCAGTTTTCTCATCCAAAGAATGGAAGCTCTGGAAACTATAGAGCTCTGATGGCTATGGCTAGTGCTTCATGTGTTCTCCACAGAGCCTTTTCCTTTTCTTGCTGAAGTTGTCACAAACTGTGCCTTGACCATCCTCTGACAGGAGACTGGAAGATTGCAGAGTGGCCACTGGGGCATCAACTGTGGGCACCTGCAACATCTCATGTACAAATGAAGGCATTGTATATAGTTTTTTGACTAACTGAAAGTGAAAGAATTGCCGGTTGGCTGTTGGCTTACTGTATATAGTTTTTTGACTAACTGAAAGAATTGCCGGTTGGCTGTTGGCTTAGACCGTTCAGCCTTCATCTGTCTCTCAAAATACTCAGGAAAGGGGAAGACTTTCGGGGAGACATCGTCCCTGGGGGGAAATTCCTCCATTCCCCGGGTCTTGGAATCCCTGATCTAGCCTCCTCTTCCCCTTTGGATACATCATGGAGTTGGAGGGCAGCTACAGTCATTGACAATAAGAACTGATAGCCCTCTGGCTTAAAGAGGCGGGTAGATGGCTCAGGCACAAACATTTCTTCCTCCTCGGCCTCATCTGATAAAAACGCCCCCTCCTCCTTGCTCTCAGAATCACTATCAATGGGTAGAAACCCTTCCCACTGGGGCCCTTTGTCCCTACTCGCATCCAAAGGACTCTTTCGGGCAGCCTTGGTGGGGCACTGTTTCTCTCTAGGAGGCAGTCTGGGCTCTGGGGGAGGGGTTGGAGGAGGAGAAGCAGGATAGGAATCAGACCCCCCAACAGTGGGGGTGGCTGGATGGCAGATATTGTGGATCTCACATGGCCTGTTTCATAAGGGCAAAGAAATCTATAGGCATGCTAGGCGCCCCAGGTACATTACCCATCTGTAGAGAGAGGTTCTGTTGAACTAACAGGGATTGGCCACGGAGGGAAAGGCCTACAATGATATCTCCCGCTGAGAGGTTGGCATGGTTGGCCACTTGGAGATCTTCTGCGGCACTAAAATGGCTGATTTATTGCCAGCAGCGCACACAAGCCATGAAGGCATGTTGGCGCCAGGTCGCTCCTCTCTTGCTGCCAACAGCGCCGCCGCCGCGGGGTCCTCTTCGTCAAGGAAGCCGTGGGTTTCCCTGGCTTCCATCGAGCTCGCCTGCTTGAAAAACTCTGCAGGCGATCAAAGGAGCCGCCACTGTGGGTCTTAGGGGTCCAGAAGAGAGGCAGAAGAGGAGATACAACAGTAAGATTAAGACTCAGAAGTGAGAGGAAGAAAAAGTTTAGCAAAGAATTCAGGAAGGAAAGGAGTAAAAAGATTAATAAAGGAAAATAGTAGACAGAGCCTGCAATAGAACTGCTCTCCCTCTGAGGAAGGAACAGAACTGAAAGTAAGGGGTATCCCACACTCCAGACAGGAAGGAGCGGAATCTAGTTCCGGCCTCCCTGATTGGATGGTGGGAAGCACCCAAAGATGTCCTCCGCCTCAGAGGGAGAAAGAACCAGATAATCTGCTCCAACCATGGTTTGATCTGAGCCATGGGTTCACTAGGCTCAGCCTCTGAACCAGTAACTCAACTTTAGATTTTCAGTGCAAAGACACCATCCTGGAAAATGTGGTTAAAATAAAGGAGAAAAGGTTTCTAGCATGTATAGCTATTTTCCTCATCATTTACATAATCACAGTCTGCCACATACACATACATGATAATGAACCATGGGCTTCCAAGCCAGCTTGAAACCTCTCTACTTTAGAAATAAAGCAGTGATCACACCCATTTCCTTATGATCATGCACTGCCACCTCTCCCTACAACACTCTGTTCCAGCTGGCCAATACCCAGTTTGTTCTCCTAGGATGACAAATGACATTTAAAATCCAAGGGCCGATCAAAACAGAGGTCAGCACTATGGCAGTATGAAGCACTAGGGAAAACAGAACCACACCCCAAAAAACCACCTTTGTACATCATGCGCTAGCCACAACAAAGACCAGAGATCATTCTTGACTCTTCATGAAACCCTTTAACAACTTTTAAAGCCTTCATAATTGGCAACAATCAATCAAAACTGCACGGATTCACATCTAAATAATTGCTTGGCGACCTGATCCTATCCACCAGCAAAGCATGTATGTATGTGATACAATCATAACTACATACAACCCTTGCAAAGGCAGAGACATAACCACCTTGCTCCTGTGGAGCTCCGTAGAACCAATGTTGCACTGTGCAAATAAATCAGGAGCATGTCCAGAAGGAACATAGTTGCTCCATCCCCAGGGGAAAATAAAGAATGTACCAAAATGTAAATAGTGGGAAATGGTGACACAGAACATTGGCGAAAGAACACAGAACATGGGGGGGTGGGGGGAGGCAGCAGCAGCAACGCCCAGGGAAAACATAGAAAAGTTGGCTCTGTTAACATTCGAGTTCCCAAATTACACGCAGGTACCCTGCACCTGGACACAAACATCCACGTAGGTACACCAGAAGGAGTGCACAGACAATGTAGGGGGGCCATGGCTCAGTGGTAAAGCTCTGCCTTGCATGCAGACAGTCCCAGGTTCAATCCCCAGCACCTCCATCTATATTAAGGATCAGGTAGTAAGTGATATGCAAAACCTCTGTCTGAGACTCTGTAGAGCCACTGCCACTCAGAGTAGCGAATACTGGCCCATACGTCTACTCAGTAGAAGCTAACTTCATGCATTCTCACAAATAGGCAAAACAGTGACACTTTCTGGGAGAGGAAATAAGCCGGAATGATTCCTAATCACTTCTTAAACTTACACTAACACCAGCGAGTCAATATTATCAGAACAATATCTGGTAGGTGACAGACTGAATAGGAATGGCTATAAAGTAAGGACACAGTAATCTTCACAGCAGGCAGCAGCAATGGTATATAGACAAGACATGGAAATAACACAACATTGCTCTGTTGACCCCAAAATACCCACATGAGCTCTTCGATATGTACTGGGAAGAAACGAGGAATACAGACCCACAACGGGCAGGAAACCAAGCATGCCATCTCTTGGAACAACAAGACAAACACTCAATCTCAATTTTTTGTTCCTCACAGAAGTATAGTGTTAAAGTTTCTGATGCAAACAGCCTGTTGTACACCAAGGATAAAAGCAGAAAGGTTTCAACTGTTGTTATGATTTCCCTTGAAATAGGGTCCTCTCAATCTAAAAGGGTCCAGGACAGTGATACTCACTCAGTGGCTCCAGAGCCATATATGGTTTGGACATGCTGCCTGCGGCTCTACTGAGCAGTTTCCCCCAATCGGGCACCTGCCTCAAGTTTCAAGAAAGTGGGAAAGGCCACAAAAGTGGTGGGTCTTGTGGCTGGCAGGTGGTTTACTGCTGGAGGAACAGGTAAGCTGCAAGCCTCCCAGGCATACAAATACATGTTGCTCTTTGGTTGGTTGTAACTGTGACCGTGGCTCTCCACAAGCCACAGAGTGAGCACCATTGTGCTGGGGGCATTTTAAACTGTTGTGGGTAACAGAAGCAATTGTAGGCACAGAATTAAGGACTTGGGCATTCCTCGTTCTTCTCAGCACAGCTCCTGAATCCGTTTTGGCGAATTCTAGTTAAGTTAGTAAACCAGCTTGTGCCATTCCAACAGGCGGATCAGCAGCAGCTGTCTTAGCTGAAGGACCACAAGGCTCACAAAACAACTTAGCCTGAACAAAATCAAGTTTCATCGCGGAGTTAGGGCGCGCGCGTCTGAGGACGAGAGGGTGCGGTCGCAGGAATCTTACACAATATTTGTGAGGTAGAGCTCTCCAGGGCTTGCTCCCCAAACTTTGGAACTGGCGCAATATTGACATCAACCTCCTCAGACAATGCTGTAGAAATACAAAGGGGAGAGGGAAAACAATTAAAATCCTAATTTATTATTTCTGCTTATTTTGGATGGAAAACAAGTGAGCAGTGAAGGAGGGCAACATTTAAGAACAGGTTCTTAAGTCCATCTCTGGAAAAGGCGTCCACGGAATGAACAATGAATTTCAAAGGGACTTGCAAAAAACTATTATGTTGAGATTTTCTTATAAGTACAGAATACGAAAGTATATCTTTTGTTCCTCACTCACACACATACCCGCACTCTTATGACATTTCTTTTTAAACGATTCTCACAAATTAAAAGGAGCCGCTTTCCCAAGTTATTTCATTCATTTACTCGGGTAAATTGTTCCTTTAAAAATACAGACACCCTGCCATTTTATCAACAACAGTAGCTTTAAGCAATATAAAAATACAACAACAGAAATCTCAGATAAAATAGTGGTAAAGCCGTAACCTAGACGGCTTTACTCTTCCCACTGGCAAATGCTTGATCAAATAAAATGGGTTTAATGCTTCTGAAAAACAAGAAGAGTGGGGAACCAGGTGAACAACTCTAGGCAGCGAATTCCACAGCCTGTGTAGCAGCCATTGAGAAAACCCTATCCGTGGTCAGAGCAAGGCCTCCAACGAAGAACTGAGTCAGCCATCAGGGTCAGATAGAAGAACGCGGTCCTTCAGATGCTCCAATCCCAGATTGGCTAGTTTAATTGATTCCACCCCACATCCCACATAACGAAAAGGATTTACCCAGGCACAGCACTCTGGCATCCGCTGATCATATCTGTAATTTCCCTCCAAAAAGACTCAAAAGTTTCATCTGTGTGGCAATGACTCTCCATGTAGCTGCACAGGCATTCACAGAAATGACACATGCACCACTTCCCCCACTAACATTCCTTACCTTAGCCTCCCCAGCTACCATCCTCCCCCCCCACACACACACACACCCCTCATGCCTTACAAAAAATTGGTCATTACTATATTGCTATAGTGACATAGCAATTACCAACGTTTAAAAAAAACCAAGAAGCCCTTCAGTGCCAGAGCAGAAATGGCAGTTGAGGCAAGGAAAACGGGGTAAATACGGGTCGGGCTGTCAAAAATGCACATCTTCTTACCCACACAGCATGCAAATATGTTTGGGCTGTGATCAGTATCAGAATAGGGTTTGGAAAGATCATAGCAAAGCAATGGAAAACCTAGAAGACGAGTGATTAGGAGATAATGATGTGTGGACGCTCCAGCCCCCGCCCCCCAATCCTCTTCCAGTTTGGATACCAGACCAGAGCACAACCTCCACGTGGAAACAATGAAAGTTTGTCAGAATTTCTATACTTGCTCGTCTTCAATGTACAAGTCGTTTATCAATAAGTAAGAGCAACTTATTCCATTTCGGAATTATTTATGTTTTTATTTGGGGGATGTACTTTTTTCTTTTTTTTAACTATTTAGGAAACAAGAGTTTAAAACAGGTTAAAAATCTGAATTTGAACATACCTAGTACTTGAAATACTTAAAAACCCCAATTATTTTCCGAGCAAGAGGGAAAGGCTTACAATTGTTATAAACAATTTCTCCTGTGTCTTACCCCATACCCTTTACCCTTCCTATCCTATATTGTTTATGTAAAAAATCTAATGAAAAATTCATGAGGAGGATGTATCCCAAGCTGCAGTATCAGAAAACACATCTCCCCACCCCTGGAAAGTACAGAAAAAGTTATTCTTTAAAAAGAAATTACACTGGTCAAGTGATGGTTTCAACCAACATAGGCCCAAAAGTTTAAAGGCCAACACATCACCCTGATTTTACCTCCTAGCACTGGAATTCAAAGGTTTGCTGCCTCTGTATATGGAGACTCCTTGGACTTATCATGGCTAGTAGCCATTGCTGGACCTCTCCTCGGTGAATCTGTCAACCCCCTTTTAAAGCCATGCATGCTTGCCGTCATCACCACTAGATTCACTGGCAGCGAATTTCTGCAGTTTAATTATTCATTCAGTACAGAAGTATTTCTCTTTTGTCTGTCCTGAATCAGTTGCCCATCAGGTCATTGGGCACCCATTTTTCTCACCTCAGGATAGAATCATAGAGTTGGAAGGGACCTCCAGGGTCATCTAGTCCAACCCCCTTCACAATACAGTAAATTCACAAATACTTCCCCCCCACACCCCCAGTGACCCCTGTTCCATGCCATCTCATTCTACCAAATGTGTGCCTTAGCCTCTAGCTTGATTTCAGTGTAACACCAGAAAGACAAAAGCAGAGAGACCCACAGGACTTTGCAGCCAGACTTTGATCAGGACTCCCCCCTGCCCACGCAAAAGAGCTGCACATTGTCAGTTAGTATGCCAGAGGTCCACAACCAGCACGCGCAGCTGTTTTGCACAGGTGCCCAGTATAAAGAAGACACAGCCTAAGTCATAGAGTATGTGCTTTTGCACGGAGTAAGAGAACCGTATGAGGTCGCCGTAAGTTGGCTATGAATTGGCAGCTCTTTCCCCCACCACCAAGTGCTTTCATGTAAGTTGGCCAAGCCTAAAGACAGAAACAAAGTGTGTGAAATAGCAGCAAGTGCCTGTACATATTTTCCTGGATTCTTGATAAGCATGATGCTCTGTGCAGTACCTCCAGAACTTGCAACCTGGACAGCTCCCACCAACTCAATTAAATGGGACACAAAATCCACTACCTACTCCTACCCTCTCCCTACAAAGCCCAAGTGGATCCAGGACACTTAAGGCCAAACGAGATATGCCATTTGGGTCCTCAGGCCCAACTCTGTTTCCACATAGGAAATGTCTGTTTAAAAAGAAAGGTCAGCTTGGGCTTGAAACACCACCATAGGGGGACAGAATACTCCACATGGAGCGGCAAAAGTAGGGAAATAACTGCCCTCTGGTGCTGTCTTATATTAAAAAAGAGACTTCGCAGCAAGAAACAATAAAGGAAAGCAAGCTGAGAAATAGGACGCTGAAAAGATATATATTAAAGTGAGACTCTATCAAAAAGACATAAATAGTGAGACAATGTATAGAATACAAAGCATGTACAAAATACCATCAGCATAAAGCAATATCAACACAATGCAATAAGCATAAAGCAATATCAGCATGATGAAGATTCTGGATTAATACTTTGTTTCATTCAAATTGCTTCTTCAGGAATATATTACATCATGATGTTGTGTCTTCTCTTCTCAAGATAATGTATCAATGTATAATATTCAATGCCAGTTCAAAATATTCATCAGAACGGTAATCTTTTTAGTTGGGCACCAGTCAAAAATTTAGGATATAATATCTGTGTTTTTACAAGTGCTGGAATGCCTCCTTTATGTCTTTTTGATAGAGTATCACTTTAATATATATCTTTTCAGCGTCCTATTTCTCAGCTTGCTTTCCTCTGGCGCTGTCTTGGTATTTGAAAACGATTGGGGGGAGACAAAAGCTCTTTCTCCCCCCCACCGCAGTGGCATTCAAGCCCAAATGGGCCCTCCTTTATTTTTTAACAGACATGCCCCTCAGCTGCTGTGTGTCTGCAGGGAAACACTTAGATCCAGGAAACCCAGGCTTTGGCCTCTGGCTTTAAAAAATGAAGGTTTGTTCCAAAAAAGATGGCCTTCCTGCACCTACTTTCTACTATCTTGTCATTTTCTCCACGATTCAACAATACGAACTACATCTGGTGATATAAACAATCCATTATAGCTAGAGCAGTATGGTGGAAGCTGTGACCTGGACAGCCCAGGATAATCCAAACCTGTCAGATCTCGGAAGCTAAGCAGGGTCAGCCCTGGTTAGGACTTGGATGGGAGACCGCCAAGGAAGTCCAGGGTCATGACACAGAGGCAGGCAATGGCAAACCACCTCTGAATGTCTCTTGCCTTGAAAATCCATTGGGGGAGGGGGTGCCATAAGTCAGCTGTGACCAGTACAGTGGCTGGAGGGGAGGCAGCATGATTACAGGGGAATGATCACATCAGATCTCAGAAGCTAAGCAGGGTCTGTACTGGATGGGGCTGTAGTAAGAAAACATGGAGGAAATGCAGCTGCAAAAGTGCTACAAGAATAAGGGTTTTGATTTTCATCTGGATTCATTTGAAGCCCAGTTAAGGAGCTCCAATCACGCTGTAGCCACCTCCAGGACTTGACTGGGTGCATGGGTGTCCCCTCCCACATCAGTATTTTTCAGTGAAGCCCCATGACACTGCTGCCATGTTCTAACAACTGGTTCTTTTTGAAGAATGATCAATAACCCTTTTAGAAAGAAGAAGGTAGGCAACCTTGGGTGGCTACTTGCAGGGACTCTGCCCCAGAGGGCATACAGCAACCAAGGATAACATGTCCAGGCCTTTTAGATTCAAGCCAGCTTCATTAATTAACTCAGCACAAGCGCACAGTTGATCCATTTCACACTGTGCCAGTCCAAACCACTCTTCCCGTGCTATAATATACTTCTGAGTTGCTGGAACTGTGTTTTCGCTGGAGCCCAGCTGTCAATTAAATGGGAAGACCAGTTGCAAGCCAGACAGGGCCATTTGTCCCGCAGACAAGATCACCAGACTGACACCCTCCCCCCCCCCACCCGTAATGTTTCTATCACAGTGCGGAGCTAATGCAGCTGCAAGACAGCACCGCTCAAGTCACAAGGGAAACAGCCTTTGACAAGGCTCATCTGTCCCTCCCCGTTTCCTCCCATCACACATCTACCTCATTACCAAGAACTCTGGAATGACAGCAATTGAACAGAACTGAATACTAATAGTATGCCATGGCCTGATCTAAAAGCCTATGTAGAACTGGGAGAATCTCATCTTTCCTTTTGTACAGAAAGAAAGCTCCAAGGCCACAACATTGCAGAGTGCGAGAAAGCCCCAAATCCACATGGCACCTTTGATCAAGATGTTGAAAGAACCGACAAAGATTTCAGGTCAGGGAACAGGATGGTATAGCAGGCAACCTCCATCACAGGTGCCAACAGCAACACACCAGGTTGA